TTTTTGATTTCTGGTTTGATCGAGTCGAAACATCAAATCTTTTTATTTTTCCACGATTTATCATTGTTTTTTTTTTTTTTTGTCCTTCAAGATGGATCATTAGATAAAGTTTTTTTTTTCCTAGAACCTTCCGTAAAAATCTAAATATACAAAGAAATTATATTATAAAGCGGGTGGTTTGAATTACGCCTCAGGTCTATTTTTATAATACAGCATTATCATGGACTTAAATAGAATTTTTCAAGTTCCAATTGTCGTAATTAATTTATTAACAAATTTATGGCCATATTTATTCATTTAATTCGAAAGAAATAAAATATAGAATATTTCTTATAAATAAGGATATACTAATAATAGAAGCTTTTTAAATTTTAAAAAAATATTATAAATAGTTATTAATAGTAATTTTTAACAAAATTATAAAATTTATTGATGAATGCTAATATATATTTAAAATTTTATAAATTAGCAATTTGATCAAAAAGAAGTTATTAGCTCAAAAATATGGAGATATGCTAGGAAAAATCGTCGCGTATGTTGCAAGTTGGGTTGATAAAAAGGAAGAAAAGCATCCTGTTTATGGATTTACACCTTAAAATACCTTTGAAAATTCATGAATTTAAATTACTGTTACGTGATGGCTGGGATGGATTTGACGCGGAGACTTTCACAAACTCTTTAATACAAACCAAAAACCGTAACGAAAAAGATCAATGAAATTCTCGGAGGATATGATCCTATAATATGGGTCGGGTCAGGTTTAAACTCGAATTCGACTCGAACCGATCATTGTTCGACTCGGACTCGACTCGAACCGATTATTGTTTAAGTCGGATTCGATTTATTTCTTGGAAAAAAAAATTAATTTTCGTCATACATCATAACGACACGAAAAATATTAGTGAATATAACTCATTAAAAGTCCTCACACCCCATTTTTTTTAAAAAAATGAAGTTATTTTTGTTGTGAAATATAATTGAACAAAAAAAAGGTGCTTAGATCTTTCTTAACATTCCTCTTAATGAGTTAAAAAAATTTTTTGCTATTTGCAAGTGAAATTGAGTGGAATATTTTACTTCAAAATAAATTTTACCCTGCAATTTTTTAATATTGTCGAAATATGAACCAATCAGAATTCATGTGGTTCTTTTCTTATCGGCTGAAGCGAAATCGAAAAGGATAAAATCAAATTTAATCAAAATTATATATTTTATTTAAAATTTTGACGGAATGATCATAACATAAAAAAATTCTCACTTACTTATAATAAATTTTCGTCGAAATTATCATATTCCAAGAGCGCCAAGAAAGCCATTTTAATTGCTTGATACTTGGCAGATTCTTTAACTGCTTACTGAACTGAAATTCCATTCATTTTCATTAACAAGGTTATACAAAATGCTAGGATAATGTTGTGCTATGGATTCCTTTTGCTGAAGAGGTACATCTATCTGTTATACTAGAAATTCTCTTTTGATTTCCATGAATTTCCTATTTTCAATAATTTATTTTCTTAAAAATCTCTACCACTTAAAAATATAGGGATTTTTATGAAAGATCATTTTGCCAAACACGAGACAAAAATCATGGAATTAAACAGATCAAAGTTGAAAGATATCGAAATTTTTAAAATCAAATTTGTATACAACTTTGTTACCTGTCGATATTTTTCGTATTTTTGTTCCATCGACTATGAATTTAACAGGATAAATTCATAGTCGATTAGAGGTTGTAACCGGTTAAAGATTTTTAGGCCAGGACGCAAGACTTTTCAATATATATTTTGTAATTTACAAATTAATTTAAATTATTCTAACGTTTATAAGGTTTTTATTATTTAAATAAAATCAATTATCAAAGTACTAGTCATGGGCACTCTGAACGTTCATTTATTAAACAAAACCTTTTAAAATTATTTAACCTTCTTATTTTGTTTAAGCAGAAAATGATCGTTTTATATCTAATTCCTTAAGGAAAACATAATGGTCAGTGGGTTAACTAAATTCTAACGTCACTAACTAGACAACCAATTGAATATAAAGACAATTAAATAAATTATCGTCATCATCTTAAATGATAATCAAAAT